CTATCCATTTATTGTACCTCTTATGCATTTTTCACTGCAACTATTCACAGTTTTATGTGATGGCAGACATGAGAAGCTGGCCTTGAAGACGATAAGCAAATTTCTATTTTTGCCTTAGAAGATAAAATGGCAATAACTTGCTCCCTTTCTTCTGTTCTCCTTGACTACTCTCATCTACCATAACCTACTTTATCAATTAATGTACTTCCCCCCTTTCACTTTCTAACAGAAGCAGTAGTTTTCATTCATTAGAGCCAGAAAAGCATATATCCAAATTCACATCTTATTTTTATTTATTCTATAACTCTAACAATATATTAGATATACTGCAGTCAAAGGTGACTTACAAAAGAGCAAAGTGGGGGAGGGAGGAGTGTGGAACATGCATATACATATCTCTTTCCTGTTTAAATTCTTCATGATATATTAGAACAGAAGGCCTTGAGAGAATTGGGATCTTGAAAGATTTATTTGCTTCTTCATATTTTGTCTTCTAAATGATAGGAACATCAAGTCTCAGCAGTCCTGGTTCTGATGGTCTTGAGAGACAAGGACTATGGCTTTCTTAGTTCTCAGATACAAGCAGCTATTGCTGTATCTGCGTCTGTGTTGGGATCAGTCTCCAGGAATTGCATTTCTTCCCAAAAATCTGTTAATAGTTAGCACTGCAAAGGTGTTAAGAGGAGTAAATAAACAAATAACCATTTTAAATAGACTTTTGCAAATCCTTTCCTCTCTGAAGTAATCAGCTCCCACTAAATGTTATAATCACATACTCTTGTCTTCAGGAGAGAGGAAGAAGACAAAAGTTGCCAATCCCTCTACATAACCCCCATCACTTTTTCCCTCCAGTGAATTCAAACACATAGATCTCCGTACAGCTTTTCAATGTTTATTTTGTTTTCAATTTACTTATACTACATTAAAAAAAAAAAAGAAGATGAGAAAATTCCCTGTGTGTTGAATTTTCTTGAGTTGTAATTTCACCCATTAACTTGATGCTAATGCTTGTATCTGTGAAATTAGCATTTGAACCATGAGTGGAAGAAGCTAAGGTCTTCCTGAGTCTATGTTAAGATTGAAAAGTTGACTTCAAATCTCATTTTATTTATCTTGTTAACAGTGTTGATATGGTGGTCATTTAATGTGAAATACTGCAAATTGAGTCTGTCAGAAGAATGGTCCACAGAAAAGACATCCAAAATGACTGGGTTCTAAATGTGTTACTTGAATTACTGCGGAAATTTGGAAGCATCTTTGTCTGAGATGTGTATTGCTCTGTGATCAGCCCTAAAGATCTTAAAGACAGATAAATAAATTGTTTGATGTTTATTCTTCGGAGTAGAACTCCAAAAAAAAAAAGAACAGAATAAAAAAAGAGATATAGTGAGTAGAGGTGTCCAAGAAAGGAGAAAGTATTAACTGAGATCTCTAGTAATAGCAGTAGTAATTCTCTAAATAGGCTTTGGGCCGAGTTTCAACTTTATCCTTAAATGGAAATGGTTGTATAAAAAGGAATTTTAGTCTGAGCTATCTACTCACTCAGTGCCACAGTCAGATTACAAATATTCCTCTGGACGAAATGTAATTGGTAAGGAGAAAGATGGGGTTTTCTCTGGAGAGAAGGCTAGAGATTGTGCTGAGATCATTGGGAAGGGTTAGCGAGGAGAAAGGGAGTACTTTGTCTGCAGGGGCTTCGCATCTGAGCAGCTTGGACTGCATACCAGCTGCCTCTATTCTCTGTTCACCTGTGCCTACAGGTCTCCGTAGATGAAAAGACACCCACACATTCACCTACAGAACACCATTGTTCCACCTTCTCATTTAGCTGCCTTTGAGATTACCAGTGGAAAGTAAGCAGTGACTTTCATGAACCATTCAAGATAAGCAAGGGAGGCAGACCATGGGGTAATCTTCATTTCTTGCCTCAAGAGAAGACGAAGTGCGGGGAAGTTCATTCAGCCAAAGTCCTTTGTGGAGGTGACTATAAAGAATCTTACTGCCATTTAAGTTCCAAAGAAAAAGTGTTTAGTAACTCATTACCTGGACCAGTTTTGTACCAATAACACGTGTTCAAGGTACTGTTGATTACGTTAACATTTTTAGCACAGAATCATAGAATCATCCAATCACTGAATCACAGAATCATCCATCATACAATAGAATGTTTTGGATTGGAAGGGACCTTAAAGCTCGCCAAGTTCCAACCTTACTGTCATGGGCAGAGACACTATGTATTAGATCAGACTGCCCAGGGCCCCATCCAATCTGGCCTTGAATGCCTCCAGTTACGGGGAACTTTTACCATCCTCAGACAACCACTGCCATCATGCCAGTTTTGGGTGTCTCTTTAAATAATAAACAGGAAAGGACAGTAAATAGTTAATCTGGATAATACTTTACTCCTGTTCAAAACACACATGCATAACATAGACAACATAAAACGTTTTCATTCTGCTGATCACATGGCAGATGAAAAAAAACAAGCAACAGTTTAAATTTAGCCTAATTCTATATTATATAGCAGAATCTTTCAAGTAAATTTTGCTTCCATGCTGAAGTTAATTTACACAGATAAAGCTCAGAGGCTAATTATATTGCCAGTTTCCAAACTGATGAACCACAGTATTCATTTCCAAAACGTTATGTATATATGCAATTTAATTTTTTCCTTCAAACGCTTTGCTCTAACATTGTGGCAATTCAGTTAAAGACTATTTATGTTAATATGGCATAAGGAATTTAAAAACAGACAAAAAAAATCCCAACACCAAACAAATAAGAACAACGGATTTAATAGTTATCTTTAAGAATCTACATATTGTTTTTTGGAAATTCACCCTTGAATTTAAATCTGTCTGATCAGTCAGGAAATTGTTATGAATATACAGTTGAAGGATTACTTTCCAATCTGATTGTTTTCAGAAGTAATGAAAGAAACTGAATTTTTTTTTTTCTTGATTCATAACTAGCCTGGGCAATGTATGGAAGTTTGTTCTATATTGCAGAATAACATACAATGCAAGATGTCTTCTTCTTTCCTATATACTGTGTTTGAAGTGAATTCATGAAATGGATTAATTTTAGAACACCTTAATTGAATTACAGAATTGCCAGAACACTTGAGATACTAGTAGCATTGCTGGGTAATGCATTATTATTTTGATATTAAAGAATAAACTATTTGAATTGTTTCCTTGATTTGTTTGCTGGGCAGATTACCACTCTGGGCTATGCAAGTACTGGGATACATCTGCAAAAAGATATTTTAAGATTCAATAAGTGTGTTTTCATATGAGTACAAGAAAGTATTTGCTTTTCTGTGACAATGTTATTTCCTGGATCCACCACACAGCCTAGGGAAACATATGTGTCAGCTTTCACCCTTAATTGCTGTGTTTTCCTTCAAATACACATGCTCCCAAAGTAAATGCTCCTGTTTTGCTTGTTTGCCCTTGTTTTCAATAGAAAAAATAGAGTCACTGCCAGACACGCAGAAAATCCACAGCATAGGACTTACTTTCAGGAGAATATAAGATGTGTTATAAGGAGGAGTGTACAAGTATGTTTCTAACATTTATTTTCTCAAATGCAGAATTACAACAGGGATTGTGTGATTGAGTAAAGGAGGTCAATTACTTCACTACAGTGAAGTAATTTAAGACTTGATCCACCCTGGGAGAGAATTTCAGAACTTTTGTTCTAGATACTAGTCCTTATGTTACAAGTTCTAAAGCAAGCACTAGGGAAAGGGCAGTGTACCTTGAAATGGATGTTTTTCCTTATCCTGATCTAAAAGCCTCTCTTACTTGTCAATCAGAAAGACAGAAAACACCAAGAATTCTGGTACTACATATATGTCCAACACACAGACAACTCACTGACTTAGCTGTATTGAATGAAGTGCATTACAGTTGTCCACAACCAATTGGTATTTGACAATAGCACTTGGGTCTTTTATACCCACTTTTAATTATCCTGCATATGAAGCTTGTTTACTTGCTTACAGCAGCCTGAATTTTAGCCACAGGAAAATACTTTTACCAATAATATTCAAATAAATTAATTGCAGTAAAAGTTCATAGTTTCTCCAACACACACACACACAGTCAAAAAAAACCTGTTTTTTTCTATTTGAATAAATTGAGCATTACAAAATAAGTAATTTTTGTGTTCTAAATTGTTTGCTGGTGTCATAAAGTGAGATCTTCCTTTGTAAGAAGAAAAGGCTCAATAATGTGCACCAATTAAGACGCTGCTTCTCAGGAATAAAATCAATCATTGCCTCCTGTTGCACTAACAAGCTCATCTGAAGAGCAGCATTAGGTCTTCCTGTCTGGACTTGAGAAGCACATAAACACCACCTAATACATAGCATTCAACATTGGTGAAACATTCACTTCACATATGCTTGTTGCAAGATGAAGAAAATCAATGCTACAGCCTCTGTTCCCTATTTTGGATTGCCATATTTGTCTTCCCTGCACATGAACTACTGCTTTCTGCTGTATCAGCTGCTTGAAGATTGGCATGCATATAGGTCTAAGTACTGTACTGCTTGTAGAGAAAAATAAACCCAGGCCATAAGAAGACATTCTTCTCTCACACTGAGTCATGAGTCCTCATTAATCCAATCTATTATATTGATAGACATATTGCATTCCCTTCCATTTAGGAAGGCAAATGCTTTTATGTTTGTACTCTTTGGAGCAATGGGATTGCCTTACAGGTTAGGTCCTCCTTGTACTGGTCCCAGTATTGAATTATTCTCTCAGAACAGTACTGTCAGTGCCTCCACCATCGTCCTGTAGCTTCATCAATATGGATGCTTGTATGCACACAAGTTCAATTCTACAGCTCATCACTTCTATCCTGACTGGTAGCCAATTTCTTTTATTTGTTTTTAAGTGGCTTTAGGAATGCAAACATGCCAGATATACAGGAAGATGAAGCAAGGGATGTTAAGTTGTACTGTAAAAATAGTGGACATCAGTGCTTCAAGTTTTCCGATTCACTTTATTTCCAACAGAATTATATTCAAAATATCAAGGTCCAAAAAAAAAAAAAAAATTAGTGTAATAAATACTTCACTTTGGGCTGTAATAAATAAAAAAAATTATTAACAAGGAATGCACTTTGCCAGCCACAAGTGTGGGTAGTTTCTGGGAAAAAAAAAAAAAAAAAATATGGCCATAGTTCAGTTAAGCAGCCAGACTGCTTATTACAGCTATTCCATAACCATGGATCTCACCCTTCCCTCCCTTTCCAGATGCATATTCACAGTTTAACTCCATCAAAAATGCTCTCTTACAGGGGAGCAAGATGTCACACTCTGATTAGAAATCAAGTCAAAAATATCTTTAACACACACACATGAAGCAAGGAAAACTATGGTCCGAAGAACTCCTTGTCACACCATTTTAGTCCAACAGTAGGTTCAGGCATCTGTAACAGAAGTGTGCCCAGCACACTATGACAGGCAGGTTTTCGTACCACCACATATCCCCATTATCAACATACTAGTTGCTTCAATATCCCCACTGTAGATTTCACAGTGAACAAGAGGGTCCGTATGGTTTAACAGAGTCAGTCCCTTCAGTTACATCGCTGCAGTAGCATGTTCAGAGCATATTCCATTCTATGCTTTAGTTCCAGTGAGCATCCTGAAACCAGAAGAGTTGTCAGACGAAAAGTTGTCGATATCCTGTCTTCATTGATGTAAGTAAGGAGATACTCCTCGCTCTGATTGCAAATGATGATTTTTGTGTGATCGTGATAGAAGTTCACCTGCAAAAGAGAAGAGAGCTCTTGTTTGTGTACTTTCTCATCTCAGTGTCTGCTGCTTAGTTTTGCAATGAAATACTGTAGAAGCATTTTGTCAAGTGATGCTACCAAACTTACTTGAAATGTGCCATCATTAAAGAGCATCATCAGTGCTTTATCAGATTTAAGCCACTGTAGGAGGTAAAGCCTGGGCCTGCGTACATCTGTTAGGCTAGGCAAGTCTCCTCCCTAGGAAAAGAAATATACACCATATTATGTGCTCAGTTCACTTAGCTTAAGGTTCACTTCTGCAGCCCAAAATTGAGAACGTGCTGAACTTACATCCATGAGGTTCTCTTCCATGTAGTGAGAGAAATACTTCAGTATAGTCACTTGACTAATGAACTGTTCAGGAGCCTCTGCAGCTGTGAAGACAGAGCACTGGCCTAGCTCAGCATAGTAGTGGACTGTCCTGTAAGAGCAGGAAAAAAAAAAATAAAATAGGGAGGTCAGAGATGGGGCAATTCAAACTTAAAATTGTTTTATGAAGTTAGTCACCTATTTTGTAATCGTTCTTACTTTTTATCTGGCAGAAGGCTCATATGTGCTCCATTGTTGAAAAGGACACCGACAGTATGATCTGACAACTGGTACCCAAAGCCATACTTATTAGAGTAGTCCACCCATTTTGTAACCCATTGGAAGGACGTTGTCAGCTGCTCTTTGGGAATACTGTCTGCTTCTGGCATGTTCTCCAGACATCCACGCAATACCCGTGCAACTGTATCTGCAACACTTCCCATTGTACTGTCTTCCAGGCCTGAAAGAGAGGGATTATTAGACTGACATGACCACACAGAGCAGGCTTTAATTCTAAATCCTAATTTACCTAGATTGTAATTTTAATACAGTTAGCCTTTCTGGCTTTTCATTCACATTTTACTGCCAGTATGTTGGTAGCGGGGCGGGGAGGGAAATAGCTGTTTTCTCAGGCTTCCACATCTGAGATATGAAGAAAGTAGGTGTGTGATTTAGAATTAGAGACAGCATTTTGCTGCACTTACATTCACTGCTACTGCTACAGCTTCCTAAAGTTCCTCTGACAATCATCCGAATAGAGTCTCCAATCTGCTTTGTTTCTGGTACTGCTCCTGGCTTGGCTACTGTTGTGATTAGGGGCTGGATCTCCTAGAAGAGATGTCAAACATGTTACATTTGTTGTTCACATTAGCCAAGTCTTATACTCAAGGCTTTGCATAGCTCTCCTGCCTATCAACAAGAAATAAGTTCCAAGAAAACTGGTGTTAATCTTCCTGCAGAGTATGAACAACTCCTACTAGACTGAGCTCAAAGAATCATGTCAGGTCTTTCCATTGTTCTAATGTTCATTTCACACCTTGAATGCTGTTAATATTTTGCCAGGGTGGAAAAGCAGAAGACTGAACAGCTGCAAGTAGGCATGAACACCACATTGCAGGAATTAGAACTCAGCAGCTTATTCTTTAAGAAGGCCTACTTAATCATGAACTGAAGCCTTGCATTTGGAATATTGGGAAAGAGTACCTGACAAACTAGTTTCCACACAAAAAACAATGGATGCTAGGCAGATACTGTAATTATTCAAAAGACGAAATAGATAGTCGCTCTACAAAGGTTACCATACTTTACTGAAGCTTGGTTAAGCTCTCTTAAAGCAACTCTGCTAATCATTTAAGCTTGATTATGCTGTGTACAGCCTCAGCTTTGAAATCCAAATCAAATATAACTTAATTACAGCTACTCCACCCAACTGTTACTGGATTTGATTTGAACTTCGTTTGTATTTACCTCATCTGTTCTGTGTTTGTGGGGCTGCTGGGTTATCGATGCCTTCTTCAAGTCATGCCTGAGCTTGTAAATTTCTTCATCTTCTTTAGCTAGTCTATCTGCAGTACAGGAAAATAAAACAAAAGTCATGATGATGTATCTAGAACTGCTGCTCAATATCCTGCATTAGAGACCCTAACATGTTAGTTGCAGTTTGTCTCCTTCCAGACGTACTTTTAAGCCAGCCACAGTCTCTGACAACAGCAGTGCCATTATACACAGATCTGTGAGAGTAAACTGGCTAACAGATGGCCCATATAGATTGTCAGTATGCCAGAAGAAGCATTTACTTATGTATGTTGGTGTAGGTTGCAGCCTGCCATCTATGCTTATTGATAAAGAGGTCAAACCTAATCTGAAGAACCAGAGACATAGATACAGGTGCTTCATTGCTATCTCATAGCTGTATGTTACTAGCATAGCACTGATAGCCTAGAGATAAGTTCCAAGCAAAAATATAATTCACTTACTATGATTTTCAAAGTATCTGGCTTTATCCTTTTTACCACCAAAAAGAGCAGCAGCTGCTTTTTTGAAGAAATTTTTAGCAGGACTTGACAAATGAAAGTCAGGAACAGTGTGACAACAGCTAGCAGAAAGTCTGTCAGGTGTAAAGCCCTGTGGAAACGAGATGAAAAAGCAATTTTCAAACCACACAGTGCATTTGTAAGGGTAGATAAGGTTTAAGCCAGAACACTAGATAAGACAAACCTGCACGAAAAAATCATGTCGAATTATTTCATCTAAACTGGGCCGGTCTTCAGGATTCTTCGACAGCATGCTAGCTATTAAGTGTTTTGCAGGTGCCAAGAGAGATGAAGGCAGACTGTATCTTGCTTCCCTTATACATCTGTATGTTTCTTTAAGATTTGTGGTCTCAAATGGGGGTCTTCCCAACAGCATTGTGTACCTATTTTAAAATAAAAGAAAGCCAACTTCATTTTGTGCACCCATAACACAAGCCAGCAACTACTGCAAACATTTTATCTGCACTTAGGTTAGCATCTAAAAAGGGTTGCAAACCAACATAGTACTGCATCCATTTCCTTTGAACTTTTAAAAGCCTAAGCCAATGACATATATTTTATTTCAAAGGCAGCAAAGCACTTACATTACACAGCCTAAGGCCCAGATGTCAGATTCACAGCCATGCCCTTGCTTATTGAGGACTTCTGGAGAGAGGTAATTTGGTGTGCCACATATTGTTCTGTAAATCAAAGAGGCCACAGAGGCAGGTTAGGTTAGGAGCTCAGAAAGAGGAAAGAAGCTATTTTTCATAAGGTAGGTTTTACTCTCAAGTTCAGGCAAGAGCTCAGAGACTCTGAAGAGAACTTTCATGAATGCTAATAGTGTAGACGTGTTTCACAGTGTCTTTATGATACAGGAAAAGCAGACTCATATCTGCACCATTAGTCAGGTATCCTGCCTCAGGCATTTGCTATTATTCAAATGCTCAAAGGAGGAATGCAAACGTCAAAACACAGCAAGCTTTTCTAGAAGGGGAAAATCTCAACACAATTATCTCTTCCTTTGCAACAGAATCTCTCTCCCTCATTTCTAAGTGAATTTGGTTTCATACACTACAAGGCTTTTTTTTTTTTTTTTTTTTTAAATGCTCCTACCTCCTCCTGTGTTCCAGTGGTTCCAGCCTAGCTGCCAAGCCGAAGTCTCCCAGTTTCAGTTCCATGTTCTCATTAATGAAGAAGTTACCTAGCAGAAAGAAATTCTGGTTAGTCTTCTTGCAAAGCAGGAATGCATTTACCACAGGTGCTGAGTCATACTTTATTCAAAGCCAGAAGCCAGCCAAGACTTTTTTTTTTAAAAAGTATCGATACTTAATACCATTCCTCACTCTAGTTTCCCACCACATAGACTAAGCTCATTCTATTAATTAAGCTATCAGCACATGAGTTTAAAGTGATACAAGGCTGACAGGGCTGAAAAAGTATGTATTTTTAGAAGTCATCGAGGAACAGAACTTACCTAGTTTAAGATCCCTATGCAAGATTTCCTGTTCATGAAGATACTTCAGCCCTGACACAATCTGCCTGAGGTAGTATCGTACTTCTGGTTCTGTCAATACCTTCCGTGCTTTCAAGATGTGAGCCATTGACTGCAGAGAAAAAAACAAAGGCAGACGTGTCACTGAGTATTCACACACACGATTCACATTAAGTAAATGAAAATTAATGCGTGCATGAGCTAAAGAAGCCATTAAAAATACTTTTTACACACTACAGTGTTAAATTAATTAGAGATCACAGCCAAGTAAGCACTAGATTTCTCCCAATTGATGCTCACCCTTCTACTGCAGTACTCCAGAAGAATGTAAATATTTTCTCTGTCTTCAAAGTAGTGGTAGAACTGCACAACATGCCTATGATTAAGCATTCTGTGCAACTCAATCTCTTTATCAATCTGCAGAGATAAGAGAGGAGGAAAAAAGCATTGTTAGCCGTGTGACCACAAGCCTGGGAAGCACAGAGCAGACAGCTCTGCTGGAGTTGTTCCAGGAAAAGGGTTGGGCAACCCTGCACACAAAGAGAGTTTGAGGGACAAAAAAAAAAGTCATTAATGCACACACACACCTTTTCCCTTTGATGAGGTTTTGCTACTCTGCTGTGAGGAATGATTTTTGCAGCATAAACTTTATTTGTTGTCAAATCTGTCATCTCATAGCATTTGGCGAATCCACCCTGAAGAAACACAGGAAAAAAGGCGATTAGAGAAGGCAGGGAAGAAGCCCCGCACTGAGTCATTCACCAGCTCGCACGTTAGTCAACGAGCGTAACTTCCTTCGGCCAGGTCAGCCGGCTAAAACACGGAGATGTGCGGAGCTCCCCTCCCGAAGGGCTACACACCGCACGGTCGCCACCGCCGCAGGAGGCACGGCTGGCCGTAGGGGCAAGAGGGGCCCTGGCCGCGACAGACGCAGAGACCCCGAGCAGAGCTGCAGGCGCGGGCCCGGCCATTACCTTTCCGAGCACCTTTCCGCGGCAGTAGCGCTTCCCAGTCGTGGGGTCGGTTATAATCCGGGACACCTCGGCGGCAGGGTGCGCGTGCTGGTGGGGCTGCTCCTCCGCTTTTTTTCTACGCGGCTCGGCACTGCCGGCCCTCCCCACGGCAGCTTCGCAGCCCCTGGCAGCAGCGGTAGCGCTGGAGGCTCCGCCACCGCCGCCCGGCGGGTAGGCGATGGTTCGCAGCAGCTCCATCTCCACGCTGCCGTCCCGCCCGACTCCCACCAGCCGCTCCGGTCCCCGCTCCCGACGTACTCCCAACACCAAGCAGTGCCCGGCTCGCCCTTATATCTCGCGGAAAGCCCCGCCCCGCCGAGTGGGCCGACTCCGCCTTGCAGCCCGACCCCGCCTCCTGCTGCTCAGAACGGTCCGGTCCGGCTCGGGGTAAAACCCCTGTGCAGCCGCGGGGGCAGCGCTCAGAGCATCGCGACTGCAGCCTGCAGCCACCCCCGGCTGGAACGCGGCGAGAGGAAGGCCGGCGCTGGGCGCGCCTTGCTACCCTGGCCGTTGCTCACACGAGGAGGCTTCCCTCCCACATGCCCGGGCTCTAGGAGCTGTCTGACAGCAGGACAGGGACGGGCAGCACTGACGTTTTGTTTTCACGGACAAAGACGTTTCTTCAGACATCCCAAATACCTCTAAGGTACTTTTGCCGTATAAGGCAGGCCTCGTCTGTTAGTCAGATTGCAGAACGGCTGAATTCATTTTGTACTGAACGTTCAGACTGCCCTGGCCAGCGGGTCTCATCCCGTTTACAGTTTTTTGTTTGTTTGTGGGTTTTTTGTTTTTTGTTTTTTTTTTTTTTTGGGGGGGGGGGAGGTTTTGTTTTTTTTTTTCCAAAGATACCTCACATCCCATTCTCTCCTTCCTCCAGACACCTCCTCCCAGCAACCCGGAGCTTTCCTCACCAGCAGTTGCTTGCGTTGCTGCAGTGCATGGCACGGAAAGGCTGCAGCCGGAGGGCAGCCGCTCCTGCAGCACACTCTCCCCCCTTCCAGGATACTGCTTTGCAGCTGACATTAAAACTTCTCCCTGCTGATCAGAAACTGATATTTGATACAGATGTTTGAGAAGAAACGGTCCTTAAATAGTGAAGGTTGCACAAGTGAGGAAAGTTTTAAAGTGTGAAAGTTGCTGTTCATTTCTGAAAATGCATTTGCTTGTTTGTACACACTGGGAGTACTTCTGCTCATTTACAAAAAACAGAAGTCCAGAAAAATCGGTACAAATTAATATCTGAGCACACGACCATATAAAACAGTGTGATATCCTTCCTTGGGCATTTCTTCTTTCAGATCTTAAAATAACAGTACTATACGCTCATTTTACAGTGTCAACAGCAGCATGTATGTTTTATTAGAAACCCCAGAAAGAAAAAAATAAATAAATAAATGTGAAAAGATAAATTTAAGTTTTTCTAGGTAAGTACTGCTTTATGAAGATATTGCACTTGAGTGCACATACACTTGATGGTGTGGACTCCACACAGTCTGCCCATCTGCAATTAAGCTCCAGCCATGTGCACATCCTGCATAGATGTCTTTTTCTTCCTCCCTCTCTCTTCCAAGTCATGACAGTAATGTTAGAATGTAGACAAAGGGATGGGGGAGAAAAAGAGGAAGAACGAAAATTTCGAGATATCCAGGTTTCACTCCTCAGTCCTGTGCCAACTCTTCCCTTAGCCTCTCACCAATTGGCTTCCCAGGCCAACAGTTTTGCCATCACACAACTTACATTTTTCCAGATTAGCCTAAGTAATTGAAAAATAAGTTGCTTAATGTAAAAATAATTTCACGGTGCTTTGTTTTCTGTCACCAAGTTGCTTTGATCTGCTGTACTGACAGGCATACGGGGGAAGAGGAAGCAAGCCAGAATAGAAGTGCACGTTTTCCCTCCACTGGAAAGGAGTGGTACTACATATAGCAAAAATTAAAATAAAATAAAATAAAATAAAATAAAATAAAATAAAATAAAATAAAATAAAATAAAATAAAAGCAAGTTTAAGAAAAACTGGCTTTGTCGGGAAAAGGAGAGACTGTTAAAGATAGGTTTTAAGAGGACATGAACGTGTGCTTAGAGCTGAACACAAAGAGTGTTCTGCTGAACCAGGTTAGGACTATTTGCTCCCTTACACTTTGCTGAATCAAAGTCTTTAAACACTGTTTCCTCTAGCATTTCCCTCAAGGTGTCCAATTACTACACTAATCATTGTGAGTTTTCATAAATATAAAGATGTTGCAAAAATTAGGATTTTTGAGAGCGTTCTTAAACCCACAGATTAATTGTGTTTCTGCCCTTCCTGCCTTTGAGCCTCCTACTTCATCTTTCCTTCTGTCCAGTCTTCCCACTGCCTCTCAAGTTCTGCCCTGCCTTCATAGCTCCTCAGGGAGCTGTAGGCACTAAGCTCAGTACTTAAGTACTGAGGAGATCTCTAAAAGCCCATGCACTTACAATTATATTTCTAGCTTCTGTGAAGAGCTACAGAGTATTTTGAAAGCAATATGTTTCACCTTTCCTTTTAAAACTGTTTGGATAAAATAGACAGTGCTAACACAGGGACTTCAAAATAACCTGTGAATTTTACAAGAGGAATCCATCTTCGCTAGAATTTTGTGATTTATTTTTCTCCAAGTTACATCAACATTGTCCTCAAGCATACCTGCAACCTGCACACATGAGAAGCTCATCTGCAGGATCGGCAGAAGCTTTCCAACCTTATCAGTACGCAAACTGCATTTTCTCTGCCAAGAAACAAGGCAACATAACACAAATCCAGGCTTAGCATTCTGTCTCTAGTTCCAGAAAAAAAAAAAAAAAAATCCCTCATACCAACAGCTTCACTCTCACAGACATGCACAGCCTTTCCATAAAGCCTGATAATCACAGGACTTGGAAGCCTGGGCAGACATAAATCTCTGGGTCAGGTGAGGAATGGGAATTTAACTGAGTTGCAGCTGGCCTAATTACAGGCTTGTAGCTAGCTGCTATAGCTGCTCTGGGAAGGTCCTGGCAGGAACCACTTGTTTTTACCTAGATTTTTGGAAAATAGATGTTTCAGGGCTTCTACTTCCATAAAGCAGCACTTCAAATTCCTGCGTATTACAGAACCACGGCAGCTGTGTTCAGTACCATGAATGTGATGAGATAGCAAAGTTCTTATTTGAAGTCAGTATCTGCATCAGCCACCCGGCCTCCACGTTGTCTAAAACCTGAACTTCCTTCCTCCACTGCCAAATAGGCTTCTCCTTCAGATGTCACAGCCCATAGGCAAGTAAATCACTGCTGGGTTTGAGTGCCAAAATGGAGCTAAGGAAAATGAATGCCTTTGAAAAATAAAAGGTGAAAAATAAAATTTCCATATAAGCTTTCAAAAAGTTTTCTCGAGTTTGTTTTCTTGCTGGGACTTAGGATCGGGCTGTTCGTGTTTCCACAGCTGCGCCATCGCACCCGCCAGCAGCCCGGCCCCGCACAGCCGCCCGCGCCGGTTCTGTCACCCCGCCGGGCCGATCGGCAGCCGGTCATGGAGTGCCCTCCTCTGGGCAAGCCGAGATATGACAGTCTGTTCAAAAGGGCGCTCTGCTTAGAGGTGCAAAAGTAGAGAGGCCCACGGACAGATTTTTCACTTGAATATATACCATATGAACGATAAAGCATACCTTATTTTTAGAAAATCAGCCTATGGAAATATTTATTTAAACGGTGGCTTTTACAGGCCCCAGGGTCCTCTGTGACTTGCCAGAAGAGGCGGTAGTTATGTCTGAAGCAACTGTTGCAAATCTCAATGTGTGACTCCTGCTGAGTCTCACCTCTCCTGCCTTCTCCTCTTCCCCATCCCCTTCATTTCATCCTCTAGTTCAACCTCATCTACCCCAGCAGCTCCACACCAGTTTTCCTCCACCCCAAGCCAGAGAGGGCTTTGCATTCTGCTTATTTGTTCCACTCCTCTCTCCTTCTCCAGGGCACCATCTGTTGTGCTTATAATAAGGTACTCACAGCCTGTAGAAAGCTTGGGAGTTGAGCACAGTATGGAACAAAACCTTTGATCTGACACTGCCATGTGGATTCTCAGTCCCTTGAAACCCTTGCAGAGTTTCAGTGTCACAGATCATCCTTCCACACAGATATGACTCATTTGTCCTCCCTAACTTACCACAGAGGTAGAGCAAAGAACTTACTTCAGCTGTAATTCATGTATTTTCATCTTCTTTGTTAGAAGCTTGGCAAAGCTTCCAAAGACCTGAATTCTTTTACAGTTCCTTTTGAAGTGATCAACCAATTAAAAAGCAGGCAGGCCACCAAAAGCTTAAGACAGTCATAAGTTTTCCCAGAAAATCTCCAAAAAAGCGAGTACTTAGCCCAGTAGGTCACAGACTGTGCTAGTGTTTGGAGAGGTGTCTAACTCTGTTCTGACTGTGCCAGTTCTGCGTGGGTTCCCAGGGCCAGCAGGAAAGCAGAGCTGCAGCTGAGGTATTGATAAGTTCCTCTATTAGGTCCCCAAAGACAGGGCTTTTTTGGCTGTATGTGCTCAGGATAAATTGCTGTTTCTGAAAGGTGCAAAGATTGAGTATAGGCAGATAAGTGGCAGCAATGTAGAGTCCAGTCAAGTGTCAGAATGTGTTGGGGGAAAGACCCTGCTTTCTCTAACTCCTCACAACTCTCACACTCTTCCCCATGCTACTTGGGGTGAGTAACGTCTCACAGCTTGATTTCAAGCATTAGACCAGACCCTCAGAAAAGTGCAGTAATGCCTTCATATGCCCTACTTTTATGAGTGAGGTCAGACCACGTTTGCACATTGTGGTATTTTTCTCATTTTGCTTTTTGAGTTTGACTTGTTTTCTTGTACGTAATAATAAAGAGTAGATTACACTAACCTCAAAGCTATTAGGACTGAAAGTTGAAGGCCTTTGCTTCTACCCCTACAAGTTAATCAATGTGTTTTTTTTTTTTTAAGCTTTTCAAGGTTAATATCTGAGGATATGTTTGCAAAAACAATACTGTCAGATACAGTTTCATTCACTGAAGTACAACCTCCAGTCTTCCCCATGCATTGCAACGTAGATAGTCAAGGGTGCCTACTGTATTACCCCATCCTTAAAAAACAGTTTAATCTTATGACACAAATACTTCAGAATATTCATACAGTGTCCTGTAGAATTATGCCCCCTCTACCTACACTATGAGGGCTCCTATGTACACACTTGGCAAAAAAATACCAGAAAAGATCACAAGCCATTTAGTGAGATACTCTGACACCATAGTCACCACTTCTGCTTGCAGCAGTTTATTTCAGCTGTGGCTTTTACTGACACTAGTGATTTTCAGCATGCTAGAGAAGGTGTTAGGGACTTCATATGACCAAGATTTAAGATAATGCATGTTAACAATATAGTGGTTATACCCAGAATTTGACCGTCTCCAATATAAAAGACTGCTAGATCCATTATACAACTGCATTGCTTCAGCAGAAGGAACAAAGATCTGTGTGATGGTAAAGCATCATGCCCAGTATTAGAGATAGAATCATAGAATCATAGAGTCACAAGGTTGGAAATGACCTATAAGATCATCCAGTCCTCATCACCACTTCCACCACTAGCACTAAACCATATCACGCAGCACGTCATCCAGACGCCTCTTGAACACTGCCAGGTACAGCAACTCCACCACCTCCCTGGGCAGCCATTCCAGTGCCTGACCACTCTCTGAGAGAAAAAGTTCTTCCTTATGTCCAACCTAAACCTCCTCTGGTACAACTTGCAGCCATTGCTCCGTGTCCTGCTCATTGCCTGGGAGAAGAGGCCAAATCCCTCTTCACCACAATCTCCCTTCAGGAAGTTGTAGAGTGCAATGAGGTCTCCCCTGAGCCTCCTCTTCTTCAGACTGAACAATCCCAGCTCCCTCATCTGCTCCTCATAAGACTTGTGCTCCCGACCCCTCACCAGTTTTGTTGCCCTTCTCTGCACACGCTCCAGGACCTCAACATCTTTCCTGTACTGAGGGGCCCAAAACTGAACACAGTACTCGAGGTGCGGCCTCACCAGAGCTGAGTAGAGGGGGATGATCACCTCCCTGCTCCTGCTGGCCACACCATTTCTAATGCAGGCCAGGATGCTGTTGGCCCTCTTGGCCACCTGGGCACACTGTCGGCTCACGTTCAGCCGACACCCCCAGATCCCTCTCTTCTTCACACTCATCCAGCCACTCATCCCCAAGCCTATAACGCTGCATGGGGTTGTTGTGGCCGAAATGCAGGACCCGGCACTGGGCCCTGTTGAACTTCATCCCATTCACCTCAGCCCAGTGGTCCAGCTTGTCTAAATCCCTCTGAAGGGCCTCCCTAC